GTACAATATGCAAACGCAAGGAATTATTTTATCAAGTTGTGTCCGTCCGTTTCCCATTGCCATGATAGCCGTGCTAGCCTGGCCGTACCACCCCATAGTACAAATTACATTTTGTACTAAGGTCTGGATGTGCTCTATTGAGCTCCGTTTACAGATAGGAGGTGTTAACTCCTTTTGCAGATTGAAACGATTGGATCTGAGTTTACCGTGACGTATGTAGTGCGCCCGAGTGAGTCATCGGCATTTAGCATTTAGCATTTAGCCTAGCCTCCGCTAACGGAGCCCGTGGGGAGTAGTCCCACAATCTTTGCAGCAATTACATTTGCTAAACTTTCCTCTTGCTCAGGCTTTACGGATTACTTTACTTTCGCATTCTTTGCCATTGCCAAACTCTAACCTGCCCGTTCAGCGCAAACTCTTGACGTCACCCACATCTACCTACAACACCCGCCTCCCGAGCTCGCAGATTAGTCGTATGGAATTCAACCGATGTAATCGCAAACACAAGGACCAGACCCAGACGTTACACATTAAAAAACACATTTTTGCATGCGTCAGCTGGCACTAGCCCCATTCATTTGATGAGTGAGAGTTAGAAGATGCTATACAATAGCATTGAATAATTCTTATTCCGGGTCCACCCCCATCTGCCGGGGGGTGGTATTACAAGCAGTCAGCACATGTCATGAAGTTTTCTTATTAGTAAAAAAAAGATGATCTACCATCTATTCTTAATGGTTATTACTGACTCATTGACTCCCAGACCTTTTTCAGATCAGGGAAGTGCGGTCTGCCAGTTTTTTCCACCACCCCTCCTGTACCACGGTTCCTCGGCCCCAGGCAGCTTTTTCAACTGTCAATGAGGAAAGTGGCAAGTTTTCATCAGACAAAGAGTTTTTATCCGCCTTCAATTGTCTTCTTTTTTCAAAGGCATCCCCGATAGAAATCCTTGTTTTATTCCATGTTTTGTCATTAATGATGTGAGAATCATAAATAGACCGTTTTTGGTTCTGCATTCCCATGTTACTTTACCAGTGAGATTAGCTAGCTGCGGGGAGTTCTGGCAAACTAGATCATGGACTTTCTGATCGGTGAAACAGTGGAGGGCGGGACATTGAAAGGAAAACAATAACAATATTTACGGGCGACAGTGGCTTAGTTGGTGGAGCATTGGCCCTTGAGGCTGAGACCTTCTCCACTGACTCCCATTAATGTCTTCTGTCGTTGTGTCCTTGGGCAAGAGACTTAACCCCACTTTGCCTGAAGCCCCCACTGAAAGATCAAGGCTATGCTCACACTCAGAGCAGCCGTCCTCCTGTGGACTCACCACCTGCAGAGGGTCAGTGAGGGGCTGGTGCTATGAGACTTGGGTGGGAGTTGATTGCCACCCCCCTGACTCAGAAATAAATTAAGGGGAAGAAGATGGATAGATGGACGGGCTGTAAAACTAATTATGAAATTTATAAATCTTCGCTGAACTACTGTTTACAGTTAAATAATTATTCGAAAAGAGCAAGGTTTATTAATGCCTTTTGGCATATTAGGGCCATTTAATCATGACTTGACATGTAAATCTTACATATTGCTACATTAATCTTAGTTTTGATTTTGAGATGTCTCTATAATGTTACTACTGTTTATTTGTGCCACTTATATTTCCCACCTCTGTATTGTACTGCCATGACTGCCCTAGCCAGGAGAGGGATCAGTCATTGTTAAACTTTCACCTGCCGACTGAAATCCTATCGTTGTCTAATAGGCCACCGTTAGCTCATTAGCCCATTAGCTCATTTTGTCCTCCCCTTATCACCCAGGACGACCTGGCAGTCATTAGGAGTCTCACTGATAACTCAAAGTGATAGGTGAAGCGAGCCGCGCAGAGCCGACAGAGGAAGAATAGAACAAAAGAAGATTGCAGTCTGGAAATGTTTACAGTGGGTTTGTTCTGAAAAGTTAATGATGTCTGTAATTGGATGAGTGGTAGACATTAGATTATTTACATGCACTGAAAGGCCATTAAGGAAAACTGAAAATGCACATGGTTATGATTTTGTTTGATTTTTAGCAAATAAATGTTTGTGCAGGCCGGTTATCAATTTGATTCTTGGGTGTTGGCCACTGTGGTGTATTGGTGGATTATCCCTTGTGCTATCCTTGGGTCCAATTGACCCGTCACATTGATAAAACAAACTTCCCTAAATCATTTTTTAAGCTGAATTTTGATTTTTTTTTTTTTGCTGGGTAATTTAGACCCTGTTACACCCCAATTTAGGATATTTTTTTCTACTTTTAATAATGTGTTTTGACCCAAGAATAGAACAAGAGATAAGCAACTCTTCTGGAGAGTTATGATACTAGCTGGATGGTTCCAAGTCCTGACTAGAACCAGGAAGTATGATCACATTAGTCCAGTCCTCAAGTCTCTGCACTGTTTCCTGTGGCTCAGAGAAAATACTCTAGTCTCTCCATGGGGTCGCACCAAAGTACATCTATGACTTGTTAGTGCCATATAAACAACCCTCTTTTTCACTTTCATCTCTGAAAAAAAGCTGATTTATGGATGTGATGAATTGATAAATAGATAGATAGATACTTTACTGATCCCTGTCGGAGAAATTCAGGTGTCCAGTAGCAGCAAAAATACTTTCGATTTTTTTTATTTTAGCTTAATAATTAGATCTTTAAGGTGTGTGCCCTTCACAGTCTCCTGGTCATTCAATATTTATTTACACATACTTTTTTAAGAGAAGATCCTTTTTTTTTGCGTAATCGTGACAATAACATTCACATGACATGACACCCCTGAAGCCTATTGAGCTTTGTGATTAAACCAAGCTTTACTGACTTTTGTGACAAGAGTTAAGACAAGCAGTGGTTTGACCCAAAGCTTCCTGATTCATTGAAATTAATTCCTAAGTAACTGTTCTCCTCCAGCAAATGTTACAGGTCGGAAGTTTAGTCAAGGGACTATTCTTCAGATATTAATGTTGAAAAATAATTACTGTAAAGAATACAGTGTCCAAAGGTAAGAAATATACCTGTATATATTATACATCAAGAGTCCATTTACTTCTTGGCATGAGTCACTTTGTATGAAATAAGTCTATATCATAGAGAGTTTCGCCTGTATTATCATGAACACTGTTACTGTTTTAAATAAGCAACAGTTTAAAGTGTGATACGTCGATTATAATGCATTAGTGGAGAACATTTGAGGTACCTGTAATTCTCCTCCAACTCTGAAAAAGTTAACAGTTAGCAAAGAGATGCTCCAGTGTTCTCCATAACCACTCAGGGCCATGAAGCGATTGTGGAGCAATGTTCAAATACGGCCATGCTTTGTAATTAAAGCATTAAGTGCAGACATAACTTAGCAGCAGGGGCCTGTCACGAAGCTAATTGTAATCATAGCTCACAGTTGTTAGTGGGAGTCTGGAAATGGCACAGTGGGCAGGAAAAGAGTGCCAACTGTTGGAGTCTTAATTTGGGTCCTGCTTGTAAAAATAACAATGTGATAAGGGGGAGTAGTAATCATGGCCTGTCAGGAGATTTAGCCAATAATAACGTATGTGTTCACAGCCTGAGCTGACACGGTGCTAGAATGGATCGGTGAGATGTTTGCCTTACTTATAGTGTGCTGGGAAAAGTTAATATATTATCTGTGTGTCTCTGCAACTCATAAACTTCTTTCTATTTGTTTTAAGATTAAGTTATACAAACTGTACAAATGGCATGACCTTTTGTACAATATGCCCACTAATACCTCCCTGCGTACTACTGTTTACAATGTGTGGTGTCCTTGAGATCGGTCAATACTTAGAGTTGCATTGTGTGTCAATGAGCATTTGTTCAGCTTCTTATTAGTATTTTAAATGCAATGTTTTGAGAAGGGCTAGCAGTCTGGTTCCTTGGCAAAGAAGGTCCTGGTTTTGATTCCACCTCTGGAGAGATTCCACCTCTGGAGAGATTCCTCTCTGCGAAAGCTTCCTCCGGGTGCCACTAAAAACATTTACAGTAGCTCTCTTCTTTCTGTGGACTTTCCTGGTTGAATAAAGGTCAATAAACAATGGCAAACATGTTCGTACATATGTTGGTAATCACTTTTTGACAATTTAGGCTGCCGTCATGGATCATCTTTGTAGTTAGGGTTGAGGATGTTTTTCACTTTTTCCTTCTGAAAAACCTGTTATGTAATATATGTCTATGAAAGTTTGCCTCTAGTTTGCTAATCCAGTAGCCTGCATGTAAGTGTTTTCACAACTTATGAACACACAGGAAAAAGACCCATCAACACACAATCACAGGTCTGAATCAATCAGTTATCAAAAATAGAGAACATGTCCAAATGACTCTTTACTGAAAAATCTGATTCCATACCTCTAAAGTGCTCCCATTTTTCTGTCATAGATCTCTCATTGGGCCTATTTCACAGCACTTTTTTTTTTGCACAGCCTTTTATCGACATAGCACTGCATAATTCCCGTTGAAGTCACAGCAAAGCCGTAGACATTCATCCATTCATGACCAATAACCTGTGAAATTGCCGGGTGGAAATCTTAAGGATAACTCCTCTTCTGCTACTGAATCTTATTACGTGCTGCCATATATTCCTTAAGATTTCACCGCACTCAATCGCCAAGCGTAATGGAGAAACGGGATGACAGCCAGCCAATATGATTTGAAAAAGAGAGAGAGAAAAGCAGTGGAGACGTCTTTATTTGGAGTCTTTTATCTTGGTAAGAAAATGACTAAATGTATTTCCATGGAATTGGAAGGTAAGCAGCATGGTTTGACGTATCACCCACATAGACTTTTGCATTTATGTCAAGGGCCTTGCGTAGCTACATACCTCCTACCTGCTTATACGTGCAGCTTGAATGGCTGCAGGCATGGGAGCGTACATTTCCAGGCTAATCAGCTTATGTCGGGAGGAGACTATCGCTGTGCACTAGGTGGATATATTATGAAGTGAGCGTGCATGTTTTTAGCCGGGTCGTTTGATGTGGGCTCCTGTCTCTGTGGAGCTGCTGGAGAATCCGCGGGAGGCACGGGCAGGATCCATCCCCCCGAGAAAGAGGCAGAAGGCGGGGGACACAGCGCAACTCTGTGCTTTCATGGCAACTCGCTCTCAGAATCATCAGCTCAAGTCCACATGTGGGGAAAGAAATATGGTAAATGAGCAGAGGAGCAGTGTGCACAGGTGACATGTAATGGTGTGTGTTTTTGTGGCTGCTGTGACAGCTTAAGTTCATATGGGGTTTACTCTATCTACTGAGTTGTATTTCCACTTTTCCCACTGGAGGTTACATAAGTCGAGACTTTAGTCAGAGGTAAGTAACTGGTAATATAGACAGCCATTTTCCAGCTGATATTCATTCTGTATAGTTTTTAGACAGTACACAGTTGGGACAATGTGGTGATGATAGTTAAAAATAAGTTTGGGTACCTAACTTTTCATGTGTCTTGTGAGAGTCAAACTTTTCAGTGACTCAGGTGAGTGAGTCACTATTCGATGCTTTGGGCTGATCGCTGATTGGCTGAAAAACAAGCTGCCAAAAATAAAAACAAGGTTATCAACCCATAAAGCAATTTATAATTGAACCTATACATACTTGGTTTAAATTGTATACCAAAAAAACGCATTTTCAAAGGAACATAGTTTTAAAACTATAACAGTCATTTTCTTCAGATTTTGTGCATTTATTCTCTAGGGTGCTTTGGTGTAAAATATGTTGATAACGACTGGTAGCAGGTTATGTAAGTAGAAATCTCTTACCAATTTGAACATTGTAAAGTCTTTGGTGACTTGGTCTGTAAACATGTGCTATGTAAATAAAGTATATACATGCATTTATAAACCTCGACCACCCGTTGCGGCTGCCATCTTTGATAATTTGGACGTCTCATCCTCCCTGTTGTCTGAGATTGGGTTGTACGCTGGCCGGAAATTCTGGAACCAGATACAATTCTGTATTTGAACGTATATGAGAACATACATGTCCAATTGTAGAAGGACCTGGCTGCAGTTCAGGCCAGAGATGTGTGTAAATTACATGATTAATGATATACTGAAGCTTTTTGCATTTTCCCCCCAAGCTCAAGCAGTCTCACTCAGAATGAAAGACTTGTACAAAGAGACTCAAGGCTGAGTTCTATCAAATTCAATGGAGCACAGTACTCCTGTGTGTGTGTCGACCTGCAGCTTTAAAATGACCACCTGCTGTGGGTGTCTGACATGATGCCATCTGACTTCCACCTGTTCTGATGCCAAAAAGGTCTATAAAGAATCATCCAAGTGACAACAAGGTCATATCTGCCGCTGAGGGCGTCTGTATGATTCTAGATGAAAGAGTGAATAAAAGGGACTGGAGAAGTGCAGCTCTGCTGGAGGAAGTGAAAGGAGCTCCCCAGAAGAGCAGATTCACAGAAGGCGTCTCAGTCTGATCGTGTAGTACTTATGAGGGAAAGGGAGGAACTGACATAATATAGTACTAAAGCCGTAGCTTTTATCACCATTTCATTATTTGACTGAACAAAGTGGTGTGATATGAAAGAAAGAAAAAAACATTGAGCACTTTGACGGCACATGTGTGCTGCTGCTATAATAAACGGTCAGCACTGTACCCAACAGACTATAAACAAGTAAGAGCGCATTTTTACAGACCAAGGTCACCCAAAGCACTTTGCAATGTTCAGAGTTCAGATATTGTTTCATTCTCTCCACACCCGGTAAAGACAGAAGCGAGACGCTGATCAAAAACCACTCATTCACTCAAACATTTCATTCATACCTATTGTACATGTTTTAATAGTAGGGGAAAATGGAGCACCTGGAGGAATCCTGTGCCGGTTTCCTCCTGTCCGTGTGTATAAATAAATATATATATATGCAATGACAGATGAGGTAAGATAAGGAGTCCAATTTGAAAATATACAGAATATTAATCTTTACTTAAGTTGGTCAAAGCTTTACAATGTCATGTGTAAATGCATACAGGTTAAAATCAAGATATTTTGGAGTTTTTTCACGTAAATGAATCAGCCGTTACCCTTAAAAATGTCACGTGGAGACATAGTCCCTCCGGCGTGTCCTAGGTCTTCCCCGGGACCTCCTCCCGGTGGGACGTGCCCGGAACACCTCCCCAGGGAGGCGTCCAGGAGGCATCCGGAACAGATGCCTGAGCCACCTCAACTGGTTCCTCTCGACGTGGAGAAGCAGCGGCTCTACTCCGAGCTCCTCCCGTGTGACTGAGCTCCTTACCCTATCTCTAAGGGAGCGCCCAGCCACTCTGCGGAGGAAGCTCATTTCGACCGCTTGTATCCGCGATCTCGTTCTTTCGGTCACTACCCACAGCTCATGACCATAGGTGAGGGAGGGAACGAAGATTGACCGGTAAATCGAGAGCTTTGCCTTTCGGCTCAGCTCCCTCTTCACCACGACAGTCCGATACAGCGACCGCATCACTGCGCACGCTGCACCGATCCGCCTGTCAATCTCACGCTCCATCCTCCCCTCACTCGTGAACAAGACCCCGAGATACTTGAACTCCTCCACAGTCCGAAGCCATCATGGACAGCACAATAAGGACAACAGTGACGTCGCCCGGTATGGCGCAGCCGGGGCCCCACCCTGGAGCCAGGCCTGGGGACGGGGCTCGCAAGCGAGCGCCTGGTGGCCAGGCCTTAGCCCACGGGGCCCGGCCGGGCTCAGCCCGAAGGGATGACGTGGGCAGTCCCTCCTGTGGACCCACCACCTGAGGGGTCCGTGGTGGCGAGGTACAGAGAGGACTGGGCGGCAGTCGAAGGCGGAGACCTCGGTGACCCAGTCCACACACACAACCGTCAATCCCCTTTAAGTATAATCATTTATTCAGCATAACTCACATTTTTTCCAGACGTTCTTAATATTATGTGTCTGGAAACTAATTGTATAAATTTATGTGGATTTTTCATGCATACAGATATAATCATCATTTCAATAAAGTAGCAGCCACCTATTTAGATGTTGTTTACAGAAAAAAAAGCGTGCAAATTGCATAAAAATTATGCAAGTTTAAAACAAAATGGAATTAACTTCAGCATAACACCATCAGTGTGACAAACATGACATTTTTAAGGGTAACGACTGATTCATTTACGTGAAAAAACTCCAAAATATCTGAATTCATTATTTTAACCTGTTTGTATTTACACATGACAAGCTTTGACCAACTGCTGTAAAAATTCATATTCTGTCGATTTTGAAATTGACCTCTCAAAACACCTCATCCGTCATTGACCCATATACACACATACATCAACAATTTTCTACAGTAAAGCTGATATGTGTTATTATTTTCTCAGAAGTCAGACTACAAAGTCTTACAAGATAAGCCCATTAAGACCCAACTCTAATGCATAACTATAAATCATACCCTCTTTTATTGTCTCGTGTCCAATAACAATTTTTCAACAGAGACGAGAGGTTTTTTATCTCCTTCATATTACACCGACTGATGATATTCTGTTCTCAGAATTCTCAAAGTACCTCATTAACATCAACATTATTTTTCTTTGCCCGTGTGAGCATCTATCTCACTGCACTCTGTGTCTTCACAAGTCTCTCACAGAAAGGAAGAATGGAAAAAAGAGTTTTGTGCTATGACACTGAGGCGACTTGATCAGATGCAGGCTGTGTCTGTGGGAGATGGAGTCCTGTGATCACTGAATGCAGTCGCTAAGAAAAACCTCAAGACGCTTTTGATACTTGATGTGAATGACATTTAGAGCTTAGACTGTAGACAATGCAGACGCTTTCGCTGTCAGAGTTAGAGAGATTAACACCATTCCCCTTAAGGATTTTTGAACTTTTCATGTTCGTACTTCAGGGAAAATTCAGATATGAAAATGTTTTATATCAATATATATTTTTTTGCTTTAGAGTAGCGTCACATTAATTAGGTTTTTGATATTGTTGTAGGTGAAAACAGATATTGCCAACCAATAAAATTATTAGATCGTTTTTAAATCGGTTATTGGCCTTTTCTCCAGGTAAACAACCACTGTAATTTATTAAAAGCAATAACCCTATTCTTAAAATTAAAAAAAAAAAAATGATATGCCAGTCAGCCTATAGTAGGGCTAACCAGCTATCTTTAGCTTTGGTCAAGTTCTGTTTGAATAAGGCAGTCAGAGCTACACCCAATTCACAGAGCACCAGCCCCTCACTGATCCTCCTGCCGGTGCAGAGTCCACACAAGGACGGCTGCTCTGTCAGTGTGAGCATAGTCTCGATCTTTCAGCATGAGCTTCGTGCAAAGTGGGGTTAAGTGTCATGCCCAAGGACACAACGACATCAGTGGAGAAGGTCTCGTGGTAGGCTCAAACCCACAAACTTCATGCTCAAATTCCATTGCTTTACCAACTGAGCCACTGTCGCCCAATGTTCAAACCCATATCCAGGATCCAAATTTACTTTTGCATTCTTACTTTATTGCCAAACTCTTGTTAATTTCTTGTGTTGAGAAATATTTGAGGGCTGCACACTCATTCATCATGCTCACATAGCGGCACAGACATACTTTAGATCAGGGGTGTCAAACTCATTTTGGTCCGGGGGCCACATACAACCTAATCTGATCTCAAGTGGGCCGGACCAGGAGATGCTCTACAAAAATATCCAAAAACGGTACAAAGTCCAACTTTTTGTGCACATAAACACATTTATTTAAAACTTCCTTTAAAACACTATCCTTTAATACTCAGTTTTCTGTTACAAACTTAAATGTAACAGTGAGTTTTCCATAGTGCAAATAATGTAATGTATTTACAATATTACATTGAAAATGGTATTTCACAATATGTATATTAATATTTGTATGTTAGCTTTGTTTTAAGGCTCATTACAGAGAAAACTTGCTCACAAAGGTAAAGTAGGTAGATAGAAAAAAGCACTTTAACACAGCACCTCAGCTTAACCATCTTCAGTGTGGTCAGGTCCATGGTTATGTTATTATCACATTAACCATCTTCAGTGTGGTCAGGTCCATGGTTATGTTATTATCACAGAGAAAGCATCAAACTGACCATGATTCACTTGAAATGAATAAAAAAACTTCCATAACATGATCCATTCTTAACGACTGCAGCAGTGTCTCCGTGTAAAATACAGTCAAATGTCCAAAAATCATCACCTCCATTTGCAGCTTTGTCACTACACCT